TTAGTGTCATATGAACAATTTGTACTCTGAGGAGCTCAAGGACCGGCCTCCTGCTGGTGCCCAGAGTCACGACTAAACAAGGGGAGTCAGAGTTTCAGATTCACACAGCTAAAATCTGGAACAGTCTGAACATGTGAGACAGACTCGACTCTGACTCTGTTTAAATCCAGACTCAAAACAGTTCTGTTCAGCTAATGACTTAAACTCTTCTCTCTCTCTGAATGACTTTGTGTGCAACTTGTGCTATACAAATAAACTTGTCTTGCCTCTGGTCTGATGCTCGGAATGCACAATGTAAGTGAGCAATAACTTTGGACCTGCAAACCTTTTAAAAAGTGCTGCTTCTAGTTTGTCTCCAAGGAGATCTAAAATGTTTTTCAATTTTTCAGAGTGTTTAACCATTTTATAGTTGTTCCTCCTCAAATTTACTCACCCAAAGTTGTATTTGGAGTGATACGTGCGCTTTTGAGCAATTTTGAATCATTTATTTTCAAGATGCAATTTTGCTGATTAAGCCCTATTTTCACCAGTAGACGCCCACTGCTCTGTGCTTACTTCACTCTCCAGTTTTATTTTCTTAATCAGTGATACATGCAGGATGCAGCAACATTGCATACTCATTTTGGGATGAATTTATAAAGTAAATCTGCTACTCACAAACATGATGTTCAGCTCTTTGTTGTGATGTTTATGGCGACGTCAGTTCCCACTGGGCGCCACATTTTTCTGACACAAATGTCAGTGGACTTCTTTTATTTAGTGGACATCTTTTATTTTAGATCAGCAGTTTTCAATAGGTGAGGTGCCAAAGGGCCACTGGGGAGACATGTGGACTAAACCAGGACTAAACCAGGACTGAAACAGGAGGAATAAATCAGGACTGAGTGTCGGGACACGTCTGGAGGTGTGCCTGCGTAGACTGTCGGGTGACCACAGGAAAAAAGGACTGGCGCTTAGCTACGCACCTCATGGGACAAAGTGCAGCTGTCGCCCAATCACCCTTTGTGGACACCCGGCTTCACTGGCTCGGGGTTCTCCCTCTCTCTCTGAAGTCCAAGATTACTACTAGTCCAGTCCTGGTTTGGTCCTGTGTCCTACTGATGTTCAGTGATGTTAAAGTCAACCTCAATTAGGCCATAATCGTTTATGCTTTTGAAAAAATATGAAAATACAATAGTAAAAAAAATATATATGACCAGTTGCTTTTAAAACTCATCATTGCAGGAACACAAAAGATGCATTTACTTCTGTGGCCTGTGTGGGGAGGGCAGGCGGATGGGATTTTGGGTAAGGGGGTGGTGGTCAGCTGTCTTTATCTGCTCTAAGGGGAGACTAACATTCACCCAATAAAAAAAAAACACTTTAGATGAATATTGATTTACAATGAGCAAATCAAAACGTAATGATACACGTGAGTCATAGATTATAGCGCATATAACAAAACACAAGCACAACATGTCTTCTTTAAAGGTGCATTGTGTCATTTTTCTTGTGGAGAGTCCCCCACCTGCTTGTTTCTATAGATATGTTTTTGCTCCACCTGGAATGTTCCACAATATGACATTAAACAGCTCTACCTTACATTTATTCAATTACAGGTGGGTTTATAGCTCAAAATATCTAGCAAAACAACATTCTGACTGATCTGACTTGTGACTTAGGCCACGTTCAGACTGCAGCTTGAAGTGACCCAAATCTGATTTTTTGACCCCATGTGACCTGTATCTGATCTTTTAATGACAGTTTGAATGACACAGATTTTGATTTTTTTCAAATGTGACCCAGGACACTTGGATATGTGCTCCTAAAACCGACACATATCTGATCTTTTGACATGTGACTTCAGTCTGAACGGCCAGGTCAAATGCACACAAACCTTAATGTCATCAGACAAAAATTGTGTATGAACTCCATGTCCGTAAAGCAGTGACGCACATCACAATCCCACTACTTTTGGCTTCGACTCTGCACCCACACGTTCCTTTCTACGGACGTCGCTGCCGCTGCCCCACAAAACACGACGGCCAAAAACCTCGTCCTTCTCCTTCTCAATCTCCTCCTTAAAACAAATGATCGGTACATGTTCTGGCTCCGATACAACAGCAACTTTATGTAACCGGGTGGCTAAACTATGTTGTCCTACCGAGGTGCGTCCGTGAGTGCGTCGCCGTGTGTGGTTCCCGACGTCACTGATTGGCAGGATTGGAGGCAGTCAGGGCTTTTGGTGGTTGGTGAGGGCAGCACGGGTAAGTACCGGAGTTGTTCTCTTTCAACGTTTCTTTTAGAATTTGCCTTAATGCGATGTGTCTGACGACGTTTTAAAGGTTGTCTGGAGTAGGCAGTGGTGCCGGTGGCCACTCCAAACGTGCTCCGGCCCCCATGTAGAGTGCCCCCCTCCTAAACTTTCAGTAAATGCTCTTTGGTTGTATACCTGGGGTGGTGGTCGATAATGGCCTACCTGAAACTAATTTATTTTTCCCTTTGTAACAGATTGCCACTGCTGAATTATTCTTGTTTTTTATTCTTTATCCTTACTCTTAGTGTTGATTTTAATTGAATGTTTTGGATCGGTAGCTGAGGTCTTGGGGGGAAGTCCAATATTTGGTCAGGTGGTCAGTGCAATGTAAGGTTAGGTCTCAGGGTTAGCACAAGTCACTTTAGCCCAAATAGGCCCCTTAGCACGAACACTTTCACCAGCTTGAACTCGATGCCCTTTATCGTAATGAAGCCTTCCTCAAATACCTCGACACGCGTATTACGGCCCCAGGCCTTAGTTCTAATATTTCTGCAGAGTTCTCTTCCTGCTGCAGGAGCCCTGGTCTGTGATTGGTGGGGCAAGTCCACGCCCACCTCACCTGCAGCCACCGCCCCCTATTTAAGGAGATGACCAGCACCTGTTCGGGGCTGCTGGCCTTGGTGGCCAGTCTGCCATTTTGGTTTCATGTTTGTGTAGTTTAGTTTAGTTCTGTTTTGTGCCTTCTTTTGATTTGGTCACTCGATTCTGTTTGTGGGTTTATGTGGTTTAATTGGGGAACTTCTGTTTTAGTTTAGTGTGTGTCCCTAAGTTTTACCACTCGTTTTTTTGTAAGCCTGCGTGACCCCCTTTTGTGGCACAAAACTCTGTTTATTCTGTTGTTCTGTTTCTTAGTTTAGGTTGTTTTCTGTATATTTTTAGTCTTTTGTTAATTTACCTTTACATTTCTGTTAATTAAACATTATTTAATTTATTCCATTTTACATCTTGGTTTTATTTTTGTTACTTCCCTCACCCCAAACGAGCTGGGTCGTAACAACACACTTTAAGAACCCATTTGCAGCTGGATCCATGTTTACATAGCACTAGCACGTTAACTTGAAAATGTAGGGTTTAACTAGTGTTTTGTTTGTTTGTTTTTTTGTATTAATGCTTGGTTTGTGATGACTAATTTGATTTGTTGTGTTTTAGTTGAGGCTGGGTTAAATACTGCATTTATGACGGTTGAGTGGTGTGTAATTGGGTATCAAAAAGAAAATTAAATAGTTTTTAAATGTCTAGACCAGGGGAGCTCAATACGTCGATCGCGATCTATCAGTCGATCGCCAAAGTCGTGTGGGTAGATCGCCGTGTCTCATCTTGGACTCGCGTTTGGACTCGGTCTTGTCTCTCACTCAAGGTCTGACACTCAACAAGTGTGATCATATTTCATTACGGCCGCTGCTGTTGGTAATAAACTTGTAGCGGGTGCAGGAGCGTGTGGGGCGTCTCAGTGCAGCCTGTGCGCTCATTTGAAACCCGCGGAGACTCTACGGCGCATCACAAACACACACGCTCCCTATGCACGGCTCGTCTGCAACAGCGTGTGCCCTCGTGTACCAGCGTGCATCACAGGGCAGGTTCAACTTCCTAAACATCCTACCTGTCCATCTGCCTCACGTCAGCACGCCGCCCCTCGCCTTTTCACGCTCTCGCTCCTTCCTGCGTACAGCCAACACAAGCCCCTCCCACAGTGCGGCTGATTAGAAGAGCAAGACCAAACGTGAAGCAAAAACCAGTCTAAATTTGTGTTCCAGTGTTGGCACAAAGCAGGTCTACAGCATAGAGCGGATCTACAGAACAGACCTACTGCCACATTTGGCTGAAGTTTGTCTAACAAAAGTGCACAAATGCATCTGTGGTTTAAACAGGTTTAAAAATACCTAGTTCCTTCACTGTTTTCACAGTTTTGTGTAAAGTGCCAGAGGAAGTTCTCTTAAAGAAGAGGTTCTCAAACTGTGGGGGAGGGTCCAAAAAAGGGGCACAGAGTGTTTCAGTGCAGTTTGCTTGGCTTTGTATTAGGTAGATCATTTTGACTTGGTCATTATGTAAGAAGCTCACATGCTGAGAAAGTGTGAGCATCCCTGGTCAAGAAGATTAAATAAAGATTTGTAACTTTTATACCACATTGCCCTTGTCCTTTTTTTATGCCAGAACAGATTCTGTGAGTAATAAGGGGATCGCTCGGTCGGCAACATTACAGTTAAAATCTCCTGGTGCTCAAAGCTTGCGTCCATGATTAGGTGACTTCCGTGAAGTCGTCGTGTCCTCCAATGCGCATGGACACTTTTGGGTGTTTAAAATTCACACTGGAGATCACATATAAGTCGCATCAATTGGAAATGTGAACGGCCTCACAAAATAACGGATTTCACAAAGAAAATCTGAACTGAGCGTTAAGCCCTGCAGTCTGAACGTAGCCTTAGTCTGGTTTGGTTTCCATATCGACAGAAATGGAGAAAATAATTCAACTATGCATCTTTAAGGAGGCATGAACATACAGACCAGACCGTAGCCTGACGACATGTAAAGAAATGTACAAATGTGCAAAAATAACTCCTCTTGTCCTTTTTTTTTTCCATTGGCCCATTTCCAGTGCTATAGGAGGAGATCTGTGAGCCAGCGCACCGCTGAGATCAAACAGCAGAAGCCCGGCGCAGCCGAGACCTGGTGGGCAGCGNGAATAATCGCTTGTTTGAAGATCTGACTTTGATAAAATTCGCAGTTTGCATTGGATTAAATGCAAAATCTTATATTGAATTAGATTTGTTTATCTGTTGGTTTATTGCAGAGTCATGGCGGCGTGTTTCGTGTATTTTCTGGCCACTGTTTCTTTGCTGTTTGTAGAAGGAAGTCCAGTTTTTAAACCCAACAATGAAACAACTCCAGTGGTCCTTTGGCACGGGATGGGTATGATCTTTTACTTTTACTTTTATTTCAGTTGATACGGATTGACCATGGACCGCTACGTGTTCCAGACGGTGTTTTATATAGATGTAGAATGAAAAAAATATTTGAGATTTGCTTTTATTGCTTTTGCAATTACAGAGCTATACAAATTTTGTTTTATATGTTGAAGGTTATAACCAGTTTGCTACATGGAATCTTTCTTGACTTTGTCTATATATTTTTAGAACTTTGATATTACAATTTAAAGCACCCTCATAGATGTTTATGATCACCACCTTGGCATATGGCTGGGATGTTTTCACTGAGAGCCACATATAGAAATATATTTGAAGCCGAGGGCCACAAACTGGTGATCAATACAGTAAAACATTCAGACAGATGCATTTAACATGATTTTGAAAGAGCCACCGTTAATAAAACTTGAAACAAACATTTTTAGGTCTGTATCATAATGCAATATGGTAAATTTGGAGTTGAAAGTACTGCCTGTGTTCATTTATGTAAATTCGACAGCAGACTTGAGAGCCACATTTGGACGCCCCTGGTTTAAAAGTAACAGCAGATCTTACTCTGTATATTCTGTGAATGGTCTAAACCAGGACTAAACCAAGAATTAATTTGAATTGCGGAACAAACTGACAGAGGCCAAAAGTTGAATAAAATTTATTTTTAAAAGCAGAGGACAGACCTGGTTGTGTATGCCTGTGTTTGAGCTGAGCATACAGCAACGTTACATAAGTAAGTAAGTAAGTCTTTATTTATATAATGCTTTTCACAGACATTTTTTTTTGTCACAAAGACGCTTTACAGAGCATTATTCAGCAATATTCATTCACTCTATACCAGGTGTGATGGTAAAGCTACTTTTGTAGCCACAGCTGCCCTGGGACACACTGACAGAGAAGCGCAGCTGCCATGCCAATCGGCACCATCGGTCCCTCCGACCACCACCATCTCCCACGCACACGCCACTTTCATACTAGGCAAAGTGTCTTGCCTAAGGACACAATGACTGTTATTCCCACTGGCACCCACTGTGGCACCTGAGTGTCTCCCATCCAAGTACTGACCAGGCCCGGCCTAGCTTAGCTTCTGAGATCTGACGGGATCAGGCTTTGACAAGCCGGTATGGCCAATATGATCCACATATGATCCACTCCTTTAATGTAGAAAACCTGAATTTCTTGTTATTCTTCTGTACTATGAAAAGATTTGAGCTGATTTGACTTGAGCTTCTTTTCAATACTATCGTTAAATATTTTCTTTAGCGATATATCGTACTTCAAAATGTGTTATCATGACAGGCATGCTTGTTTTGTGTTGCCAGGCGACAGCTGCTGTAACCCTCTGAGCATGGGCTCCATCAAGAGACTGATCCAGCAGCAGATCCCCGGAGTCTACGTCCTGTCACTCATGATCGGGAAGAATGTTATCGAAGTAAAACAATATATTTATTTTAACTTAGACTTAGATGTAGACAAATTTTACTGATTCTCTTACATAAGGGTGAGTTGTTGTACAGTTGTAGAGAGTATTATCTGTTCCATTAGGGTAAGTTGCTGTACAGTTGTAGGGAGTATTATCTGTTACATAAGGGTAAGTTGTTGTACAGTTGTAGGGAGTATTATCTGTTCCATAAGGGTGAGTTGTTGTACAGTTGTAGGGAGTATTATCTGTTACATAGGATGAGTTGTTGTACAGTTGTAGGGAGTATTGTTTATAAGGTGAGTTGTTGTACAGTTGTAGGGAGTATTATCTGTTACATAAGGTGAGTTGTTGTACAGTTGTAGGGAGTATATCTGTTACATAAATGAGTTGTGTACAGTTGTGTTGTAGGGAGTAGAGTTGTTGTACATGTAGGGATCTGTGTAATCTGTTACATAATTGAGTTGTTGTACAGTTGTAGGGAGTATTATCTGTTACATAAGGGTGAGTTGTTGTACAGTTGTAGGGAGTATTATCTGTTACATAAGGATGAGTTGTTGTACAGTTGTAGGGAGTATTATCTGTTACATAAGGACGAGTTGTTGTACAGTTGTAGGGAGTATTATCTGTTACATAAGGGTGAGTTGTTGTACAGTTGTAGGGAGTATTATCTGTTACATAAGGACGAGTTGTTGTACAGTTGTAGGGAGTATTATCTGTTACATAAGGATGAGTTGTTGTACAGTTGTAGGGAGTATTATCTGTTACATAAGGACGAGTTGTTGTACAGTTCTAGGGACACTTAAAATAAGAAACAACATCTAAAGTTGCACGAATTAAGAAAAACACTTATTCCATTGGTAGATAATTGTACTTGTCAAACTGAATCGGCTCAACCAAAGTCAAGTGCTCTTAATTTAACTCATTTTTGTTTACTTAGATATTGTTTTTTTGCGGTGTTACCACTAAAATCAAAACAGCATGAGTATTAGTAGAAAAGTGCAGTTCTTCTTACTTGCTAAAACTTCTTTGGAAGATCACCGCCCTGGAGTTATAAGGGACACACTGTAAGTAGGCTGCAGAGGTCGTGCAGAATACAAAGAGCAGAACACAGACGCACAGCAAGAAAAAGTCAGCAGCGGCAGGGCAGACAGGTGCAGTACAGCAGGTGCAGGAGAGACTGACAGTGGACCTGCTACACCTGGAGAAGGGCCGCTGCATTCTGATACAAAGAGTTCTATTTACAGTCTGTGGCAGCAGGAAACACCGAGCGGCCCTTGGATCAATCTGGAGCTGGTGCACACAGCTCTTCTCCTGAACACACACATGCACACACTGCCTCTGTGGTGGTGGGACGCCCCTTTTATAGTACGAAGCTCCTCCCCAAACCAACTGACAATGAAACATGGTTATTTTTCTACAAATAGATACTTTCTGACTTTAATATTGTTTCTATGGAGATGGCTTTGTTTTGCCTGGAATGTTCCACAGTATGACATTAACCTTCCAGACCAACAGTATTGTATATGATCCCTGGGAAAATGTTTTATATAACCATGCATAAGTTTATCTGTGACAGAAGAGGGTGAGTTGTTGTACAGTTGTAGGGAGTATTATCTGTTACATAAGGTTCAGTTGTTGTACAGTTGTAGGGAGTATTATCTGTTACATAAGGTTGAGTTGTTGTACAGTTGTAGGGAGTATTATCTGTTACATAAGTATGAGTTGTACAGTTGTAGGGAGTATTATCTGTTACATAAGAGCGAGTTGTTGTACAGTTGTAGGGAGTTTTATCTGTTACATAAGGGTCAATTGTTGTACAGTTGTAGGGAGTATTATCTGTTACATAAGGGTCAGTTGTTGTACAGTTGTAGGGAGTATTATTGTTACATGTTCAGTTGTTGTACAGTTGTAGGGAGTATTATCTGTTACAGAAGGTTCAGTTTTTGTACAGTTGTAGGAGTATTATCTGTACATAAGGTTCAGTTGTTGTACAGTTGTAGGGAGTATTATCTGTTACATAAGGGTTCAGTTGTTGTACAGTTGTAGGGAGTATATCTGTTACTAGGGTGAGTTGTGTACAGTTGTAGGGAGTATTATCTGTTACATAAGGGTGAGTTGTACAGTTGTAGGGAGTATTATCTTTACATAAGAGCGAGTTGTTGTACAGTTGTAGGAGTTTTATCTGTTACATAAGTCGAGTTGTTGTACAGTTGTAGGGAGTATTATATGCTACATAAGGGTCAGTTGTTGTACAGTTGTAGGGAGTATTATCTGTTATCTAAGGGTGAGTTGTTGTACAGTTGTAGGGAGTATTATCTGTTCCATTAGGGTGAGTTGTTGTACAGTTGTAGGGAGTATTATCTGTTACAGAAGGTTCAGTTTTTGTACAGTTGTAGGGAGTATTATCTGCTACATAAGGTTCAGTTGTTGTACAGTTGTAGGGAGTATTATCTGTTACACTGCATCTGTTCTGACTGTGAGCGGAGTCGCCTTTCCACAGTTCTGACCTGTAACTTGATCTGGTTTGGTCTCCATGACGATAAAAAGGTTTAATTTCATACTGTGACACATTCAAGACAAAGAAATAACATCTATTATTATTATTATACTATATTATATTATTACTATTATTATAACATCTATTAACAACTATTACTAACAATAATAACAATACACATAAAACGAAAATATAATGGTAAAGTTTCCTCAGTGATTCAACAACTACGGTAGCCTCACATGGACATACAAACCCCGGGCCACTTTACAGATTCACCAGCCCCAGGAGCGTTATTTTTTGACATTTCAGAAGTGGGCCACCATTGAAATGCTTAGCTGCGCCTGCCTTGAATAATATAACCTTATTAAGACGTCGTAGTTCAAATTCCTCTCCGCTCCGTCCCTGGGGCCTAAGAGAAATTGTATTGCATTACCAGCAGGCGAGATTTCACCCATAAATTTATAACCTTTCGAGTTGACCTATATATTCTCTTATGCTAAGTATCCCGGCTCATTTGAATGGGCTTTTCTGATCTTTTTTTTTTTTTTTTTTTTTTGCTAAATCATCTTAAATTTCCATGGAATTCAAAGCGAAACTGAAGACGTAATTTAAGCGTATGTAAAAATATGGGAATTAATATTTTAGGCTGACAGTGCGTCTCATGAATATATTAGGCTTGCATAATGAGGTGGTGAGAATTAACTGTAGAAACAAATCTTTGAGAAATAGGAGACAGTTTAACCGAATAATTTTTAATATCTGACTGCAATAAAAATGTCAGTTCTCCTTTGAATAAAAAAAGGAATTGAAAAATGTTTCATCGAACTTTTGAAATGATGCTGTTTCACTGAAAAAAAAAAAAAAAAAAAACTGAAATATTTGCATATTTTTGTGTATAAATACACGTTATTAATATTGATATTATTGATTGTCAACATTCTCCAGGGGTGTGACATTGCTCTGTCTGAAGCATCTCCTGTAGTAATTAACTCCAATCCAGGTCTGACTAGGCTTAGGTGGTGTATAACTACTGCTATGATGTAACTGATGTGCTGCTATACAGTTATTGATGTACTGCTGTATTTTATTATTGTACTATTATAATTCACTATACAATGACCCAGAAAACAGGGACTAGATTACAACTGAGGGATGCAGAGGGGCCCAGTCAAGCAGAAGTAAACAACAAGGCCAAAAATTCAAGTTAATGCATCTGATATAAAAATGTATTGAACAGATACATATGTACTCTAGTTTATGAAACTGTTGACCTTTTTTCTGTACCATTTTTGGTTCTAAAGTTCCATATGTTTTAAACAGACCATGTATGAAACATGGAACAAAAATTATTTCCCAAATTTCAAAGACCTGCAAATCATGTCAATAAATGGATGTATTTCATCATATCTTGTGTTATTCCATCTTTGAACTGTTGATGAAGGTACATGATTTTTCAAAAAAAATTGTATTTAAAATGATAAAAAAATTGCTTGGAAGGACTGACATATTTTATAGAAATAGTTTCCTTTCATTTTGAAGTAATATTAAAGTATTCAGAAGAAAAAAGTTGACAAATTATACAAAATCCTGCACCTTCTACTTGTTTGCACAATTTTCCCTCTGTTAATTTTCCCTCCGTTACCATGACCTTTCTTAATAAAAAATCTCATGAGTCAAAAAGTAAGAGGTTTTTTCAACCTAATCTTGTACCATATGGTAGAAAAACTATATGAAGCAAATATTCAAACCAGTTTGTTAAGGATATGGAAGTGAGAACCAAGAGTTATCACTGTTTGGATTTATTGCCCAAAAAGTGCTGCATATTTCATTCCCTCCGTTACCGACATGAGTTTTTTTTTATTTTTGTCAACAACTTGAAAGAATATCACAGGTTTAACTTGACCCTGTTGGAGTGTAACTCTTTCCTACATTCTGATACTTTACTTATTTCAATAGTCCCTCTAGTTTCTGAATAAGAGACATTTGAATGTCAAAAATCTGCCCCTGTTTCCCTCCGTTACCACTTGACTAGACCCAGAGATAGGTTCAGTTCATGTACAAGATATTCTATTTCTATCTATATGTCTAATCAATTAACTAAACAGGGCAAGGACTTATTGATAGGGATATGCAGACTCACGACTCATCACCCTGATCACACCAGAGAGACGTTCCCACAAGAGGAGTGAGATGAATCCGGGGGATCTTTGTCACAGTCGGATAAGACTGTGAAACGTGCCAAGAGGCCTGGCTGACCTGTGCACCAACGAAGAGGCACTAAGTCTAAACCATGGTCGCCTCCCACTATAGGCGAGTTTCAGCTGACGTCATTGTTATTAAAAGCATGCATTTGCATGCTGGGAAATATTTTGGTCGGAGGCAAGAAACACAGTAGTGGTCAAACACAGTGCGTAACCTCGCGTATTTCTCCCCGATAATGGTAAATTCCTGCTGCATTATCAGATGCACAAATAGAAGCACAGAAGAAGGAAAATGTCTTTTTCGTATTCTGAGTGAAAAGAACCACTAACGGTGAATTAAACGACTTTCAAACATCCGCAGAGCAAACGTAGAAGATCCTAACAAACCGTGGACTCCAACAAGTTCAACAACACATCGAGACTCTTGGAGGTTTTCATCTTTTCTGCTGTGAAT